GGAACCCTGAACCCTAAACCCTAAAACCTATAGGACCCTAAATCCTAGAGCCCTAGAACCCTAAACCCTAAACCCTAAACCCCAAAACCCTCAAGCCCTAGAACCCTAGAACCCTAGAACCCTAGAACCCTGGAACCCTAGAACCCTAAACCCTAAACCCTAAACCCCGAACCCCCTAAAATGCCTGGTACATGGCGCCGCTGGGCGCCGAGAGCGCCGCAGAGCGGCCTTTGAGTGTGTCAGGGGACTGGAATTCCTAGACCCAAGAGATAGGGTTTAGGGTTGAGGGTTGAGGGTTTAGGGTTTAGGGATACAGCGTTTAGGATTTAGGGTTTCGGCTTTAGGGTTTAGGGTTTGGGGTTTAGGGTTTCGAGGGCTTAGGGTTGAGGATTATCAGGGTGCTGAGGCTTCGGGCTTAGGATCTCGGAGGTGCCCATGACAGCAGATCGACATGAATCGCCCTGGCAAGCCCTCTCCCAGAAAACCCGAAACCCGAAACCCGAAACCCTAAACCCGAAACCCTAAACCCTTAACCCTAAACCCTAAAACCCCCCCCCCCCCCCCCCCCAGAAACTTGCAGCCTTACGAAACTGTCCAAATGAAACCCTAAACCCTGCAGCCTAAACCCTAGACCCTAAACCCTAGACCCTAAACCCTAAACCCTAAACCCTAAACCCTAAACCCTAAACCCTAAACCCTAAACCCTAAACCCTAAACCCTAAACCCAAACCCAAACCCAAGGGGGGCCGTTGTTGTTGATGTAGCCGCCGCTCGCCAGGCCGATGATGGGCGGATCCTCCGAACCCGAAGCTTAAACCCTCAGAGGCCCCTGAACCCTAAACCCTAAACCCTAAACCCTAAACCCTAAACCCTAAACCCTAAACCCTAAACCCTAAACCCTAAACCCTAACTTAAGAACCCAAAACCTACATTCTTGTAGGAAGAACCTCCTCGTGCTCAAAAATAGGCTTGGGGATGCTTAAGGCAAACCCTGGGGCTTGTTGTGATTAGAGCTTGGGGGCTTAGGGTGTTCAGAACCCTAAACCCTAAACCCTAAACCCTAAACCCTAAACCCTAAACCCTAAACCCTAAAACCCTAAACCCTAAACCCTAAACCCTAAACCCTAAACCCTAAACCCTAAACCCTAAACCCTAAACCCTAAACCTAAACCCCAAGGTCCTCATCAATGACCTTCTTGCCATCCACCTCCTGATGCGGAGACAAATCGACACGCAAACTTTAGGGTTTTGGGTTTAGGGTTTAGGGCCCTAAATCCCAAACCCTGGAAGAACCCGGTCAACGAGGGCTTAGGGTTGTAGGGCCCATGAATAGGGTCCTTAAGGAAGGGGGTTCATGGGGGGTTGGTATGTAGGGAACCTTGGGGAAGCCTAGGGAGTCTTAGGCAGTAGTGGAGTATGAGGGAACCTTGGGTTATAAATCCCCCTCCCTTAAGGACCTTTTACATGAAGGGGAGAGTACAGATGGACATTGGATCCCCTATCAGGATCTCCTTGCAAACTCGTCCTCAGAGACTTCAACTACACTAACCCCTAAACCCTAAACCCTAAACCCTACACCCAACAAACCCTGCCCACCCTCTGATATGAAAGGAGGTTTTATTCTTCAGGGGTTTCGGGCTTTGTAAACCCTAAACCCTAAACCCTACCGGCATTTTGGGATTTCAGACTGGACTTGGCTGCACTAAGGAGGGTAGCTATACATTAAATTTTTAGCTGCCTTATTAAGAAACCCAAAAAGGCTAAAGATCTGAAGTTATAGTAAAGTACCACAAAGCGGGTGTCTGCGACTGGGTTCCCGGTATCCTATGATGCAAAAGGCTGCCGCCTTGCTTCTTTGAGGGGGGAGAACCTATCCCCCCAATTTGGGGGAAGGCTTTGTAGGGCGTTAGCGTTGAGGCTTCTCGGGCTTGCGACGGGCTCAGGGCTTTTAGGGTGCTACCAGGCGTTCCCCCCCAAATATCGAAAAAAATAAGACACTACGAACTAAGGGGGCTTCAAGCCCTTAAGGAACCTGAAGGCTGCCCCCCCTAAAAAACTTGGCTGCACTTAGGAGGGTAGCTATAAATGAAATTTTTAGCTGCCTTCTTAAGAAACCCAGTAAACCCAAAAAGGCTAAAGATCTAAAGTTATAGTGAAGTACCACAAAGAAAACAAGCCCTGAACCCAAAACCCTAAAATCCTAACACTCCAAACCCTAAGACCCTACCACTCTAAACCCTAAAACCCTACAACCCTAAAAACCCTCAAACCCTCAAACCCCATAAAACCCTACAACCCTAACCCTGGAGGGCTAGGGTTTTTGAGGTCCGTCCCCTAAACCCCTCACCAGCGCGCCTTCTTCAGCGGATTCACGTAGAGCCCTGTAAAGCCTTCTCCTGCAGGGTTTAGGGTTTAGGGTTTGTAGGGTGTGGTTTAGGGGTCAGGGTCTAGGGTTTACAGGGTGTTGAGGGTTTAGGGGTTTCTAGGGTTGAGGTCCAGGGTTTAGGGTTTACGGATCCTACGGACTCGCGCCCTAAATATAGCCATAGAGCCCCAGGAAGCCTGAAACCCCAATGCCCCACACCACAAAGCACCCAAACCCTAAAACCCTAAACCCTAAACCTAAACCCTTAAACCCTACCAGCCCTGGAACCTAGTAGCCGTAAGAACCTGAAAGCCCCCCTTCCGAATTATGAACGCCTGGCAAACCTTAAGCCCGAAAGCTCTAGGGCTTACATTCAGGGACCCACAACCCTACAGCCTAAGGCCTTAAACCCTAAACCCTAAACTTTGCTCTGCACCCTAAATGCAGTTCTATTCAAGCCAAAGACTTAGGCAATCCGCTTGGGGCTGACAGCCTCGTCCGTCCGGCTATAGCGAGTCGATAATGCTCTTCTCGGGGTGAGAGAAGGTGGTGGTGTAGGTCTGGTGCTGGTCGTCAAGGTACGCTTCGAGAAGAGCTTTTTGTGTCGCCCAACCTCCTCCGCCTGTCTTGAGGTGGGTGTGTCGTGCCGCACCTGATGTGATTCTTCCGAAAATGGTGTAGCCAACGCTGACCTTGTCGTCGGAGGGTCCGGCTTTTGCCTTGGTCACTTGGGGGGTTTAGGGTTTAGGGTTTAGGGTTTAGGGTTTAGGGTTTAGGGTTTAGGGTTTAGGGTTTAGGGTTTAGGGTTTAGGGTTTAGGGTTTAGGGTTTAGGGTTAGGGTAGGGTTTAGGGTTTAGGGTTTAGGGTTTAGGGTTTAGGGTTTAGGGTTTAGGGTTTAGGGTTTAGGGTTTAGGGTTTAGGGTTTAGGGTTTAGGGTTTAGGGTTTAGGGCGGGGGTTTAGCGTTGAATTGGGTTTGAGCGTCCCTGGACCTTAAGCAAAGGGCCCCTGACCTCGGATGTATCCGTCGGCATAGTTGTCGAAGCTGAGGCAGCCTGGGTTGGGCTGGGGTTTGGGGCTTAGGGTTTGGGGCTTAGGGCTTAGGGCTTAGGGCTTAGGGCTTAGGGCTTAGGGCTTAGGGCTTAGGGCTTAGGGCTTAGGGCTTAGGGCTTAGGGCTTAGGGCTTAGGGCTTAGGGCTTAGGGCTTAGGGCTTAGGGCTTAGGGCTTAGGGTTAGGGTTTAGGGCTTAGGCTTAGGGCTTAGGGCTTAGGGCTTAGGGCTTAGGGCTTAGGGCTTAGGGCTTAGGGCTTAGGGCTTAGGGCTTAGGGCTTAGGGCTTAGGGCTTAGGGCTTAGGGCTTAGGGCTTAGGGCTTAGGGCTTAGGGCTTAGGGCCTGGGGTTTAGGGTTTAGGGTTTAGGGTTTAGGGTTTAGGGTTTAGGGTTTAGGGTTTAGGGTTTAGGGTTTAGGGTTTAGGGTTTGGGGTTTAGGCTTTAGGGTTTAGGGCTTAGGGCTTAGGGCTTCGGGCTTGCGGCTGAGGGTGCCTTAGCGGGCCCGGTTTGGTACCTGAACCCTTGTGTATCCTATAAGAGAGACACGCCCGAAACCCTAAACCCTAAACCCTAAACCCTGAACCCTAAACCCTAAACCCTACACCCTAAACCCCAAACCACGAAGTCTTTTGTGGAGATGAATCCGGGGACTGCTTCGCCCTCAGTGGCAGCTAGAAGGCCCTACACCCGAAACGCGAAGTGCTAACCCTAAACCCTAAACCCTAAACCCTAAACCCTAAACCCTAAACCCTAAACCCTAAACCCTAAACCCTAAACCCTAAACCCTAAACCCTAAACCCTAACCCTAAACCCTAAACCCCAAAACCAAAACACCCTGAAACCAACGCCCAAGCTGCGAACCAAAAAACACCTAAATCCTGTTATGAGGGTTTAGGGTGTAGGGTTTAGGGTTTAGGGTTTAGGGTTTAGGGTTTAGGGTTTAGGGTTTAGGGTTTAGGGTTTAGGGTTTAGGGTGTAAGGTTTAGGGTTTAGGGTTTGGGGTTTAGAGAGTCCGAGGCACGCCCCTTCTTGGACAGAAAGCCTGCCCAACTGAGCTGCCTGGCACACTTGGGAGTTTCGGGGCTTCCGTTTAGATTCTCAGGGTTTAGGGTTTAGGGTTTAGGGTTTAGGGTTTGGGGTTTGGGGCTTAGGGTCCAGGGTCTAGGGTCTAGGGCTTTAGTTTAAGGCTTAGGGTTTTAGGGCTTTAACGGCTTGAAGGGCTTTAAGGACTTAAGGGCTTTAAGGGCTTTAGGGCTGTAGGGTTTTTGGGCGCTAGGGGTTTGGGGTTCTGCACTTTGGGGTTTTGGGGCTTCAGGTCTGGGTTTTCGGGCTTACGGATCGAAGTCCCAGGCCATAAATCTCACACCCTCAACCCTAAACCCTACCTTAAGAACCCAAAAGCAAGTTTCTTTGTAGGCTCTTTTTAAAACCCCTATACGATTACTGGGTTCTTACGGTAAACCCGGCACCGCCAAGCCCGAACGCACAAGCCCATGCCCCCTAGACCTTCCAAGATCCCTTCAGAACACAAGAGTTTCAGGGTTTAGGGTCTAGGAGCAGAATATTGATATCGAAGCAGAATCCTTCGTCACCCAAGCATCTCTTCCACAATCGCGAAGAGTCGGCTCTTGCCTTTCTGTGCCTGCGCGACCTGGTATGACCAGTGCCATGAGAGGCGCGACCTTCTGGTTCCAGAGCCGGATGAGGGCACGGTTGCACAGCGCAGGCATGGTGCCAAGGAGCATCATCACTTCCAAAACCCGTTAATTAAGGAATATACCCTAATTCATAATAAGGATCCGTAGTATACATTAGGGTATATTCCTTAATTAAGGGGTTTTGGAAGATCTGTGTAGCCTTGACAAGTTGCAGTGTGTAGTCCCATCGCAGGTGACAGGTGCTCCTGCGCGGACAAGTTTTCATCTACCACGCGCCAGGGCGCGGACGCGGCAGGTCGGCAGAAGAAGAACTCTGATCGGTCGTTGGGGCTATCCTGATCAGCAGGCAAGTGTCTTGGGCACAAATCGCAGCAGCCTAAAACTAAACGCTAAGCCCTAAACCCTAAGCCCTAACCCTAAACCCTAAACCCTTGAGAGGAACTTTGGCATCCCTTTCCGTCGTCCTTCGGCTGTCAACTGCAGAGATTTACAGCCTCAGGAAGCCCTAAACCCCAAACCGCCGAAACTCCGAAACCCCAATCCCTAATCAATCCCAGCCAACCCATTAATCCCAGCCAACCCATATCCGGGGAAAAAATCGAACCCAAAACCCTAAATCCTCAAACCAGCCAGGGTTAAACCTTTCGGGAGCTTCTGATACAATTGGACGGTCTTTTTTTTGGGAGCTTCTCAAGGCTAAGCCCTAAACCGTAAAACCCTGGACATCCCTGGACCCCCAGCCCTAGATCCTGAACCCTGCATGTGTAAACCTTACCCTTCAAGGGATTGTATAGACTACGGACACCTAATTCCCTCATTCCCCACTAAGAATCCGTAATCCCTAAACCCTAAACCCTAAACCCTAAACCCTAAACCCTGAACCCTGAACCCTAAACCCTAAACCCTAAACCCTAAACCCTAAGAACCTCTAAGAACCCAAAAGGCCCAAGGCACAGCAGGCCCTGTGGGTGGACGTTGCAGTCCACGCCCAAGGCGACGGAGCCGATACACTGAGCCTGGGGCGTGGCAAGGTTGGGATTTGGGGTGTTTAGGGTTTAGGGTTTAGGGTTTAGGGCTTAGGGTTTAGGTTTAGGGTTTAGGGTTTAGGGTTTAGGGTTTAGGGTTTAGGGTTTAGGGTTTAGGGTTTAGGGTTTAGGGTTTAGGGTTTAGGGTTTAGGGTTTAGGGTTTAGGGTTTGGGGTTTAGGGTTTAGGGTTTAGGATGGTTTAGGGTGCGTTAGGGTGTGTGTGTGTGTGTGGAGGATATTGAGGGTGTGTTGAGGGTGACTAGCGGTGAGTTTCGGGTTTGGGGTTCAGGGTTTGGAGTTTGGGGGATCAGGGTTTCGGATGTTTGGGGGATTGGAGTTATTGGGGTTGGGGTTGGAAGGTTTAAGGTCGGGGGGGTTTTAGGGCTCAGCGATTCCGGCTTCGGACTCAGTTTTAAGGTGTACAGGGCATAGGGATCAGGGCGCAGGGTTTGAGGGTGGGGTGGGGGCGAAACCCGAAACTCTAATCCCAAACCTCGGAGCCCCTAATCGCTAAACCCGAAACCCTCCGGCCCTCTGTTCAGGGCCTGCCCGACTGGGACAGAATTGCGGTTGGGGATGTGGGACGAAATTGGGATTCCGGGTTTGTTACCCTAAACCCTAAACCCTGAACCCTAAACCCTGAACCCTAAACCCTACACCCTAAGCGCTTGACTGCTGAAACCCTTGCGCCGGCCTTGTCCGGCTGGATAGAATCCACGGCGAGGTTGAAGGCAATAAGCGACGCCGAGCCTGTTCTTACAAGTTCTTAACAGGAAAATGGGATCGGCACCCTATCATGCGAGACCTAAACCCTAAACCCTAAACCCTAAACCCTAAACCCTAAACCCTAAACCCTAAACCCTAAACCCTAAACCCTAAACCCTAAACCCTAAACCCTAAACCCTAAACCCTGGCACAAAACAAGCACCTTTTATCTTCAGGCTGGTGTCGCTCTGAACTGTCTGCCTGTGACCAAGCAAGCAGGGGCACTCACATACGACTATATGTTTCAACTTTAAGGTTTAGGGTTTAGGGTTTAGGGTTTGGGGTTTAGGGTTTAGGGTTTAGGGTTTGGCGTTTAAGGTTGTGGGCGTAAAGTTAAGCACCAAGGGGGCGATGCGGAACCTGCGATGCCTCCTGAATTAGATTCGAATGCTTAAGGTTTAGGGTCTAGGGTCTAGGGTTTAGGGTTTAGGGTTTAGGGTTTAGGGTTTAGGGTTTAGGGTTTAGGGTTTAGGGTTTAGGGTTTAGGGGTTTAGGGTTTAGGGTCTAGGGTTTAGGGTTTAGGGTCTAGGGATTAGGTTTAGTGGAGCTTCGGCTTTGGGTGTAAGGCTCAGCCCCAGACGCCAAACCGCACACCCTGAATCCCTAAACCCTAAACCCTGAATCCTGGAGCCAGTACCCCAAAACCCCTCGGCCTAAACCCTGGGAGCCCGAAACCCCAGAACACCAGAGCCCGAAAGCCCTAAGCCATAGAGCCCTAAACCCCAAACCCTAAACCCTAAACCCCAGACCTTTCACCCCAAACCCGAAACCCTAAACCCCAGACCTTTCACCCCAAACCCCATACCCCAAACCCCAAACCCTAAACCCTAAACCCTAAACCTCACATTCATGGGCCTTCGAGGTCGATGAAGAAGTTCGGGCCATGGATGCCTGGCTGTGGGGGTCCGAGGCCAAGTTCGAACTAGGGCTTAGGGTTTAGGGTTTAGGGTTTAGGGTTTAGGCTTTAGGGTTTAGGGTTTAGGGTTTAGGGTCTAGGGTTTAGGGTTTGGGGTTTAGGGGGGGTATTGCGGCTTTTGCGGCCTTTCTCGAAGTCGGGCAAACCAAGCATGTTTGACGTTGAAGTTAGGGCTGACGCCGGGGTCTTGTGGTCTAGCCAACACGGAAATTGTCGTAGGGTTTAGGGGTTTAGGGTTTAGGGTTTAGGATTTAGGGTTTATATAGGGTTTAGGGTTACTACATGGGCGCCTGAATCATTGGAATAGGGTTTTGGGGGCTATTAAAGTAGAACTATGTAGGAATGATATGGGAATACTAGTAGCAATCTTTCCGACCCCTGTCGTAGTCGAGTTTCGCTGAGTACTTCTATCCAAGAGGGAAACGGCACAACCCCTTCGCCGCGCGTGGGAATCCTATCCCCGAAAGCAGGCACGATAACCCTAAACCCTAAACCCTAAACCCTAAACCCTAAACCCCCGTTATACTGACTAACAGTCCTTCATAGGGGCAAGAGTGGGGGGGGGTACTACCATCAGTACTAAGGACTGCGAGAAAAAAGGGGGGAACATCCCAAGTTTAGGGTTTAGGGCTTAGGGTTGAGCAGCGGCTCCGAAGGCAAGTGACCCGAAGACTTTTAGGGTTTAGGGCTTAGGGTCTAGGGTTTGGGGTTTAGGGTTTAGGGTTTAGGGTTTAGGGTTTAGGGTTTAGGGTTTAGGGTTTAGGGCTTAGGGTTTAGGGTTTAGGGTTTAGGGTTTAGGGTTTAGGGTTTAGGGTTTAGGGTTTAGGGTTTAGGGTTGCTTTTCCTTGGGATTTCGGCACTGACATTTCAACAACGAGACAACCCGGGGCAAAAATCTCACGTCTAAGCGGCCAAACTTGGTTCTTAAGGTGGGAACACTGTCCGCAGAGAAACTCCCTAAACCCCCGGGCCTCCTAGAGCAAGTCAAAGCCAAAAGACTTCAATTGCAGTCCCTCGACCCTCAACCCCTAAACTCCAAAGCCTCTTCCCCAACAAAAACCCTCCGCAAATTAGAAGCAACAAAGCCTAATCGCAAGGTCCTAACGGCCTAAGCTCTGACCCCCAAACCCTACACCCCTAAACCCCTGACACCCCAACCCCTAAACCCTAAACCGCTAAGCCTCTTTGTGTTGAACAAATGCGAGCAGGGGTTGCCCATGCAGAAAGAGATTCGATTGGCCATGATGGCCGGGGAGTTGTTCCTGGGCGTTAAGGTTTAGGATTTAGGGTTGTGGGTTCAGGGTTTAGGGTTTAGGGTTTAGGGTTTAGGGTTTAGGGTTTAGGGTTTAGGGTTTAGGGTTTAGGGTTTAGGGTTTAGGGTTTGAGTTTAGGCTAAGGGGTTATGCTTTTCCTCGCACTTGAGGTTGAGGGTTCAGGGCTTTAAGTTTTTGCTTGGGCCTTTAGGACTCAGGGTTGTGAAAGTGTTCCTAATACCCTGAAAAACTGAAAAAGCACCTAAACCCTAAAACTCTGAACCTCCTGAAGGCCCCAAAACGACTCAAACTCGCCTTGAACCCGAAACTGCAAACCTCCTTAAACCCTGTACCTCCTTAAACACTAAACCCTGAGTCCTAAACCCTGAGTCTCCTTAAACCCTAGCCCCAGAACCTCCTTAAACCTCAACACTTCAGCAAAAAAAATACACCCCAAACCCCAGACCACGAAGCCCAAATCTCTCTGTCCCCTAAGGCCCATAAACCTTTAGCGCCCCTTCGGCCCTAAACCCTAAACCCTAAACCCTAAACCCTAAACCCTAAACCCTAAACCCTAAACCCTAAACCCTAAACCCTAAACCTAAACCCTAAACCCCTAAACCCTAAACCCTTGGGCCCCCTTGTAAGCGCTCCAACACGGCCGAAGCTCGTGGATCCCAGGGCTCCGCCGCTGTCGTCCTGTGGGGGTTTGGGGTTTAGGGTGTCTTAGGGGTTTGGGGTGTAGGGTTTAGAAGTTTAGGGTTTAGGGTTTAGGGGTTTAGGGGTTTAGGGATTTAGGGCTTAGGGTTTAGTGTAGGGGTTTAGGGTTTGGGGTCTGGGGTTTAGGGGTTTAGGGTTTAGGGGTTGTGGGTTTAGGTGTTTAGGGTTTAGAGGTTTAGGGTCAACAGGGCTGAGGGCTTAGGTTCTTTGAGGCTTCACACCCCAACAATCGCCCTCAGCTCTGTGAACATCGTGGAGGTTTAAGCCCTAAACCCTAAACTCTAACCCTAAACCCCAGCCCTAAACCCAAAACCCTGAACTCCAGACTTTAACTCCGCACTCCAGGACAACCTGAGGGCGTGAGTTGTTTAGGGTTTAGGGATTTAGTGTTCTGGGCGAGGATTTAGAGTAAAGCCCTAAACCCTAAACCCTAAACCCTAAACCCTAAACCCTAAACACCCAGCCCCGGAGCCTTGGGAATCGCGCTGAACTCGGGCATGCCGCCCGGGCCACCCATGAAGACACCGATGTTGGCCCTGGGACTGCTTGAGGTGTAGGGTTTAGGGTTTAGGGTTTAGGGTTTAGGGTTTAGGGTTTAGGGTTTAGGGTTTGGGGTTTGGGGTTTAGGGTTTGGGGTTTAGGGTTTGGGGTTTAGGGTTTAGGGTTTGGGGTTTAGGGAGTAATTAGGGTTTAGGGTTTAGAGTTTAGGGTAGGTTTAGGGTTTTAGGGTTTAGGGTCTACCGGGGTTCAGGGTTTAGAGTTGAGCGGGCTCTGTCGAATGCTGGGCTTCCAGTAGCTTTCGGCTTTAGGTCTTTAGGGTGTACAGCTTGAGGGGTTTCCCGGGTCTAAGGTTTAAGGGTTCTAGGGCTGTAGGGCTTCTAGGAGGCTTTAGGGCTTCTAGGGGCTTTGAGAGCTTTAGGCGTTTAGGAGCTTCTCCGTCGGCGTGGCCTCATGACCTTCTTCTCGTCCATGCCGGCGCTGAGGGTCGTCTCGTAGAAAACCTCAAGGGCCTGAACGGGTCTACTGCTGTTTGCGGGGTTTAGGGTTTAAGGTTTAGGGTTTGGGGTTTGGGGTTTGGGGTTTAGGTTTAGGGTTTACGGTTTAGGGTTTCGGGTTTAGGGTTTAGGGCTCAGCATCAGGATCTTACAGTTGAGAAGGTGAATCCAGATTCTGAGGGCTCAGCCATTCAGATTCGGGGGGATTTAGGATTTGGGGCTCAGGGCCTAGGGCTTATAAGCTTCAGAGCCCTAAACCCTAAAGCCTAAACCCCAAGGGCAGGGTCGTGAGAAGGCGAAACCCTAAACCCTAAACCCTAAACCGTAAACCCTAAACCCTAAACCCTAAACCAAAAACCCTAAACCCTAAACCCTAAACCCTAAACCCTAAACCCTAAACCCTAAACCCTAAACCCTAAACCCTAAACCCTAAACCCTAAACCCTAAACCCTAAACCCTAAACCCTAACCCTAACCTAAACTCAAACCCCTTCCGAACAAAACCCTGAAGTTCTGAAGGCCCCTGAATGGATCCCCAAATCCCTGCCCCCCCATCTCCGCAAATCCCCACCGCGAAACCCGTGAATCACTAAAATCCTAAACGCATTAAACCCTAACCCCTAAACACCTTAAGCACCCCAAACCCAAACTCCCAAACACCAAAAACCCCTAAACCCTTCAACCCTTCAACCCCCTAACCCAAAACCCTTAACCCCCAAACACCTAATCCCCAAGCACCCAATCCCCTAAACCCCTGAACGCTGAAGCCCCTAACCAAAAAACGAAAACCCCAAAACCCCAAACCCTAAACCCTAAACCACCCCAAATGCCCTAGACCCTCAAACCCTAAACACCTTAATCCTGCACAAACAAAACCCGCCCCCCCCCCCCCCCCCCCCTCACCCCGCCCAAACACCTGAATCCCCAAGCGCCGAATCCCCCAAACCCCCAAACGCTTAAACCCCCTAAAAAAGAAAAGGAAACAAAGACGAAAACCCAAAACCCAAAGACGAAAACCTCAAAACCCTGAACCCTAAACCCTGAACCCTAAGCCCTAAACCCTAAACCCTAAACCCTAAACCCTGAACCCTGAACCCTGAACCCTAAACCCTAAACCCTAAACCCTAAACCCTAACCCGGTGAGGCACAAGGGTCGCAGGGGCCTGGCGCTGGTTGGGATCCATACCGCCCGCTTCGAGGTTGCTGATCCTTAGCTTCAGGGTTTAGGGGTTAGGGCTTGGGGTTTAGGGTTTAGGGTTTAGGGTTCAGCAGCTCCGGATCGAGCAGATTTACGGCTCGGATATAACACCCACCCACCCAGAAAATCCCATAACATTAAGAAACTATAAAGTATCTTCATACAAAAGTTGGGGTGGTAACGTGCCTTGCCCACGAATTTTTGTGCCTTGCCCACGAATTTTTGTGCCTTGCCCACGAATTTTTGTGCCTTGCCCACGAATTTCGGTGCCTTGCCCACGAATTTTGGTGCCTTGCCCACGAATTTTGGTGCCTTGCCACCAAATTCACGTGCCCGAAAATTCGTGGGCAAGGCACAAAATTTCGTGGGCAAAGGCACAAAAAATTCGTGGGCAAGGCACATTTTGAGGCTTTAAGCCTTGCCCAAGGGCCCAAAACTCCGAAACGTGCCTTGCCCACGAATTTTTGGGGGGGTGAAAGGGGTGGGGGGCTGGGGTGGGGGGGCGGGGTGGGGGTGGGGAGGGGGGGTGGGGGGGAGGGGAGGGGGGGGGGGGGGGGGGGGGTGGGGGGGGGGGGGGGGGGGGGGGGGGGGGGGGGGTGGGGGGGGGGGGGGGGGGGGGGGGGTGGGTAAGATGGACACTTAAAGGCTATGCTGCACGTGCGTGCCTTGTAAACAAATACTTTACAAAGGAAACACCCGCAGAATAGACGCAACGCACCCGCAGAATAGACGCAATGCACCCTTATCATCAGCACACTGTGTCCTGGGCGGGGGCGCGGAGGGCGCGGAGGGCGCGCTCGCGGAGGGCGCGGAGGGCGCGGAGGGCGCGCGGAGGGCGCGCGGAGGGCGCGGAGGCGCGGAGGGCGCGGAGGGCGAGGGTGCGGAGGGCAGGGCGCGGAGGGCGCGGAGGGGGCGCGGAGGGTGCGGAGGGCGCGGAGGGTGCGGAGGGCGCGAGGGCGCGGAGGGCGCGGAGGGCAAGGGCGAGCGCGAGGGCGCGGAGGGGCGGAGGGCGCGGAGGGCGCGGAGGACGCGGGGGCGCGCGGAGGGCGCGGGGGCGCACGGACGGCGCACGGAGGGCGCGGAGGCCGCGGAGGCCGCGGAGGGCGCGGAGGCACAGAGGAGCATCCACGTGTCCCCGCACTCCCCTGCCCATCAACCGAATGTCACGCTCCCCACCACGCACCTCTCCCAGCAAAATGTTCCGAACCCCCTCCCTTGACCGTGTCGTCCCCGCACCCTCACGTCAAAACTCCTCCAAGACCTCAAACGAGAACTCAATTCACAAAGAGCACGCGCAGAATAGACGTTAAGCGTCCAAGGCACGGGGGGGGGTGGGGGGGGGTGGGTGTGCCTTGCCCACGAGTTTTTGTGCCTTGCCCACGAATTTTTGTGCCTTGCCCACGAATTTTTGTGCCTTGCCCACGGATTTTTGTGCCTTGCCCACGAATTTTTGTGCCCACGATTTTTGTGCCTTGCCCACGAATTTTGTGCTTTGCCCACGAATTTCGGTGCCTGGCCCACGAATTTTGGTGCCTTGCCCACGAATTTTGGTGCCTTGCCACCAATTTACGTGCCCGAAAATTCGTGGGCAAGGCACAAAATTTCGTGAACAAAGGCACAAAAAATTCGTGGGCAAGGCACAAAAATTCGTGGGCAAGGCACATTTTGAGGCTTTAAGCCTCGCCCAAGGGCCTCGAGTTTTTGTGCGGGGGGGGGGGGGGGGGGGGGGTTTTTTGTGCCTTGCCCACGAATTTTTGTGCTTTGCCCACGAGTTTTTGTGCCTTGCCCACGAATTTTGGTGCCTTGCCCACCAATTTTTGTGCCTTGCCACCAATTTATGTGCCCGAAAATTCGTGGGCAAGGCACAAAATTTCGTGGGCAAAGGCACAAATATTTGTGGGCAAGGCACAAAATTCGTGGACAAGGCACAAAAATTCGTGGGCAAGGCACATTTCGGGTTTTAAGCCTTGCCCAAGGGCCCAAAAATCCGCAATGTGCCTTGTCCACGAGTTTTTGTGCCTTGTCCACGAATTTTTGTGCCTTGCCCACGAATTTTTGTGCCTTGCCCACGAATATTTGTGCCTTCGTCCACGAAACCCATTAGGGTTTATATATATATATATATAGAAAGAGAGGTTTAGGGTTTAGGGTTTAGGGTTTAGGGTTTAGGGTTTAGGGTTTAGGGTTTAGGGTTGGGGGTTAAGGGTTAAGGGTTTAGGGTTTGGGGTTTAGGGTTTGGGGTTTAGGGTTTAGGGTTTGGGGTTTAGGGTCTAAGGTACTACTGGTCGTCCGAGGCTTTGGGCCTCCAAGTGGGGGAGCACTGAAGCTGTTACAGGCCTTGCAGCGCCCTGTACCCTATGGTAGACCCCAAGCCCGAAGCCCTAAACCCCAACCCCTAAGCCCCAAGCCCCAAACCCTAAGCCCCAAACCCTAAACCCCCCCCCCCCCCCACAAACCTTAAACCCAAAGCCAAACCCCAAACCCTGAACCGAGATTTCAGGGCTTCAAGGTTGTGACCCCGGGGGGTTCGTAAGGGGTTTCGAGCCTTGTTGCGTCGCTTCCAGGGTGGACGGTTTGGCTTTGGGTCGGCTCACCGGGATCTCGGGCTCCGGGGCTCGAACCTCGGGTTTAGGATTTAGGACTTAGGGCTTAGGGGCTTAGGATTTAGGGCTTAGGGGCTTAGGGGCTTAGGGCTTAGGGCTTGGGGCTTAGGGCTTAGGGCTTAGGGCCTAGGAGCTTAGGGCTTCGGGCTTGGGGGCAACCCCCCTCGGCCGCTCAAGGATGCAGAGCCCGAGCTGCTTGAACATCTTGTTGTCGAAGAGCTCCAAGCCCTCGATGAACCTTGGCGAGGCTTGCTGGTCATAAACCCTGGCGAAGAACAAGTACCAAGCAAAGAAGGAAAAAAAAAAAAACACTAAACTGATGAACCCTAATGTGAATCTAGACCCTAAGCCCTAAAGAAGAACCTAAACTTATGAACCCTGAACCTTGGCGAGGCTTGCCCTCTAGAAACGCTGGCGAATATGCAGTACCAAACAAAGAGGAAAAAGGATTTTTAAAAAAAAAAATAGCTTTTGATCCCTGAACCCTAAACCCTGAACCCTAAACCCTACACTTTATGAACCCTAAACCCTGAACTCTAAACCCTGAACCCTGAACCCTAAACCCTACACTTATGAACCCTAAACCCTATGCGAGGGAGTTGGCAAGGATTCCGTAACATGTTTGGCAAAACCCAAGATGCAAAAAGGAAGCATCCGTGAGGGGACTGGAGTCAGGGTTGAGGGTTGAGGGCTTAGGGTTGAGGGTTGAGGGCCCTAAACCCTAAACCCTAAACCCTAAACCCTAAACCCTAAACCCTAAACCCTAAACCCTAAACCCTAAACCCAGGGTTGAGGGTTGAGGGTTGAGGGTTGAGGGTTGAGGGTTTAGGGTTTAGGGTTTAGGGTTTAGGGTTTAGGGTGTTGGTGGTTGCCTCGGGGCTGTTAGGCTTAGGCCGATTCTCCCCGTCTGGACCTCGTTCCCCCTAGCCCCGGTCCCCCTTCAGGGATTTCGAAAAGCTCGGAGGTTGGAAAACCTTCGATCCTTTCGTACCCAAAACCCTAAACCCTTAACCCCAACCTTACAGAGTGAAGAGTAGCGCCCGGATGGAGGGTGGGTTCAAGAGGCCCGAAACCCAGAAGAAAAACAAACAACCCTAAAGCCGAAACGCTAAACAACCCTAAACCCAGAACAACCCTAAACCCTAAACCCTAAACCCTAAACCCTAAACCCTAAACCCAGGGTTTGGAATGCTTAAGGCTGAGGGCTTCGAGGCCCTCTGCAGCCACGACTCACCTAAAGCCTGCTGCTCTTTGCACATCGGCTTAGGGTTTAGGGTTTAGGGTTTAGGGTTTAGGGTTTAGGGTTTAGGGTTTAGGGTTTAGGGTTTAGGGTTTAGGGTTTAGGGTTTAGGGTTTAGGGTTTAGGGTTTAGGGTTTAGGGTTTAGGGTTTAGGGTTACCGTTTCTAACTAGACCCAAGAGAAACCCAGGGATAAGAGGGTGCCCTTTTTGGCTTAAAGGGGCTTATAAGGGAGCCGAAACCCTAAAAAGAACAGCAAGGGCTTACTCCAGGTCCTGGCTAATGTCACCCTTGTCGCAGGCAAGCCTGAAGACCAGCAAGCCTTCACCAACTCAATCTGAGGACCACAACACAGCTCCCAGACCGGGCACGAGCCACTTGTGCTAGAGCAGTTTAGGGTTTAGGGTTTAGGGTTCAGGGTTCAGGGCTTTAGGGCGTTAGGGCTTTAGGCTTTGGGGCTTTAGGCTTTAGGGTAGGGCTTTAGGGCTTAGGGCTTTAGGGCTTAGGAAGCCCATCTCCTCCCACCAGTGACGGCGGGCCGCGTGCCGTGGTTGCAGTGCGTCTTCCACTTGAGGGCCGGATCCTGTTGCTTGGAGGTTCATGGCACTTCCTAACCAATTATAACTGTACTAATAACCCTACTTATAATACCCCTAAAGGGCCTTATATGGGGTTATCCCAATTATAAGTAGAGTTATAAGCCCAGTTAAAAGTGGTTAGTAAGTACTGTGAACCTCCAAGTGGGACCAGGAGCCAATCGGGGCCGGGAGTAGCGGCCCGTGGGGGCCCTAAACCCCAAAAGGTTCAGGGATTAGGGTTTAGGGGAACCCTGCAACCCTAAGCCCAAAGCCCTAAACCCTAAACCCTAAACCCTAAACCCTAAACCCCTAAACCCCTAAACCCCTAAACCCCTAAACCCCTAAACCCCTAAACCCTAATCCTAAAGTCAGTGCAGGTTTTGGGGCTCGTAAGGCTTGGAAGGCTTAGAGAGCTCATAGGGTGCAAGCTGCAGAGAGCTCTTGGCGTTTAGGGTTTAGGGCTTAGGGTTTAGGGCTTAATTAGGGTTTAGGGTTTAGGGTTTAGGGTTTAGGGTTTAGGGTTTAGGGTTTAGGGTTTAGGGTTTAGGGTTTAGGGTTTAGGGTTTAGGGTTTAGGGTTTAGGGTTTAGGGTTTAGGGTTTAGGGTTTAGGGTTTAGGGTTATGGGTTTAGGGTTTAGGGTTTAGGGTTTAGGGTTTAGGGTTTAGGGTTTAGGGTTTAGGGTTTAGGGTTTAGGGTTTAGGGTTTAGGGTTTAGGGTTTAGGGTTTAGGGTTTAGGGTTTAGGGTTTAGGGTTTAGGGAAGGAAGGAAGGAAGGAAGGAAGGAAGGAAGGAAGGAAGGAATCGACCAGTGGCATACGGCCACGGCCTCCCGCACTCTTCCCCGCTGAGCATCTCGGGGGGCCTCCGCAAGCGTCATCGGCCCCCTCCGCCAGAGGTTCCAGAGGGGGTACTAGTAAAAATAAAGAAAAAAGCCGGAAGTGGCCCAAGTAGGGGGTTTGGGGACGAAAGGGGGGGTCTGGGCCGGAAGAGGGGACGTGCGAAGGCGGGAGGAGGCGGAAGCCTGAAATACGTGGATACTGACAACGAGGCAACTGTGCCCTTTTTTTACTCGAGCGCCGGGCAGAGCGTGTCTCGCTCTAAGTAGGCGTGGCCTTCGGCACACAGTGCTCGAGAGGCTGAGAGTACGAGCCGATTGGCTGCATCGTCAGCAAGGCTGGGCTCTCTACGGCAGAGCTCCTGCTGAAGAGCAGTGACGGACGTGCCGCCGTGACGGCGTATGAAGGCCCAAAGCCCACCTGCGAATGCGCTTAAGGCGGAGGGCTGGTTTGTGCACGGCCGAGGACCCGGCACCTTGCTGGCACTGTTCGGCCGCAGCACGGAGGTGCGACAGTAGCTCCTGTGAGGCTGTAGGCCGACGCCGGCGTGGGCTAGCGGCGAGAAGGCGTGCCCAAGTGCACCAACAATCCGGGCACAGCTGGAGCGCTGGGGAGGAGCTGTGGTAGGCCCGATGCGCACCAGAGTTCCAGCGGCAGGATCCCCTGGAGTGAACGGTGATGTTGCAGGACACGCACGCAGCAGGACCAGCCTGTTTGCACCAGATGCAAGGTAAGGGCACAAGGGGCAGCTCCGGGAGACACACCCCACCGCAAGTCCAGCAGCAGGCTAAAGGTGCAGGAAGCACCGGGACACAGGTGCATGGCACTGCCAGGGCTGAGGAGGCCTCTGACCACGAGGGTAAGTCTGGGGCCCAGGACGGCAGCGTTTCGGAGATGATGGCACCGCCATGTTGGAGGAGCAGGCTGATGATGGTAGAATCTGACAGGCGCCCACAGGGATGCATAGATCGGAGACGTGCCGCAGCGGCCTCAGGCCGAAGCAAGGCCCAGCGCAGCTCACGGATGAGTCTTTGGCAAGCGTCGGACTGGAGCCAGGCTGTGAGGGAAGAAGATGAATTACGGAGTGACGGTCGGTCATCAACCTGACCTTCCCCGGGCTGATCGCCATCAGCAGCTGGCAGTGCAGCACGGCACAGAGCTAGCCAAGTGGTAGTGCGTGCCTGGTAAGCCTGCCGTGATGTAGTCTGCGAACTGCGTCTGGGGTGCCGCGGCCCTGTTGAACGGCATCAACCTCGCTCCGTTGCAGAACATTGAAAAATTTCTCGTAGTCTGCAGGGATGCGAAGGAGAGGAAGGCCAGACCGCAGGGAGTCTTCACAGACGAGGCAATCGAGGTAGAGAACCTCAGCAGCGGCTGCTACTCTACTCCTTTGGAGTACGCCCGGTTCAAATGGCTGTGAGGCTCGTCAGAGAACCAGGGGCTGCGCCCAGCTGAGAGCCTGCCAGCCACCGGTGCTTCAATTGCCTTGAGCGACTCTTCGAGCATGGAGAGGGGGCGCCAACCCCCAGAAGGTTTGGGTAGGTGGACCTGCTCGGCATTGAGCAAGGAAGGTGGCACAGTTCCGAAGAGGCGGAGCGAATCAAGGCACTGCCAATAGAGTTGTTGCACGGTAGGGTTTAGGATTTAGGGCTTAGGGTTTAGGGTTAGTGTCACAGCTTCTGCGGCAGCGACATCGTCAGCTTTCAATTTGTCCATGAAGATCTGCGTGAATGCCTCTGCTGCTGCTGTCATGGCATAGGTCACTCGAGACAAGTCATCTGACAGCGGTCGACTCAAAGTCATGGGAGGAGGCAGCCTGTAAGAAACGTGGTCGTCGATCTCATACTGGGTCAAGCCTCTTGGTGCTCTTGTTAGCAGGCCTTGGTTTAGGGTTGGGGTTTAGGGTTTAGGGTTTAGGGGGAGAGTTTACAGGGAGTGCAAGGCTCGTGGTTGACAAGGTCTGGGGTTTAGGGTCTAGGGTTGAGGGTTTAGGGTTTAGGGCAAGCGAAACGTTGGGCACGGACCGGGATGCTTGAAAATAGCGCTTCAGCGAGTTTTCCCCCCCTAAACCCTAAACTAGGCCCTAAACCCTAAACCCTAAACCCGAAACCCTAAACCCTAAACCCTAAACCCCAAGCAGGTCCGCTGTCTTTCGGGCTTTGCGGGGGCTTTCTGGTGTTGAAGGAACTCTTCGAACCACAAACCTAAGTCCTGAATCCCTTTACCCCCGAACCCGGAAGGCCCTTGTAGGGTTTAGGGTTTAGGGTTTAGGGTTTAGGGTTTAGGGTTGAGGGTTTAGGGTTTAGGGTTTAGGGTTTGGGATTTCGGGTTTAGGGTTTAGGATTTACGGTTCAGGGTTTAGGATGTAGGGTTTCAGGCACCCAACCCCTGACACCAAAAACCCCTGCAACCCATGAAGACCTACTTGGGGCGTCCGGGGGCCTAACACCCAAGCATCCTCGACCCAAACCCCTAAACCCCAAAAACCCTCCAAGCCCTAAACCCTACACCGCAAAAACCCTCGAAGTCAGCCCTAAACAAAACCTCAGTCCCCACAACCCCACAACCCCACAACCCAACAACCCCAACAACCCCAACAACCCCAACAACCCCAACAACCCCAACAACCCCAACAACCCCAACAACCCCAACAACCCCAACAACCCCAACAACCCCACAACCCCGCAACCCCACAACCCTTCCAAGGCCCCTGTCCTGATCTTTTAGTGGCTCCCGGGAGTAGTACTGCTCGTGGTCCCAGCCTCAGAAGAAACCAGGCTTCGGGGCTCCGGGGCTTCAGGGCGTTTAGGTTTCAGGGTTTAGGGTTTAGGGTTTAGGGTTTAGGGTTTAGGGTTTAGGGTTTAGGGTTTAGGGTTTAGGGTTCAGGGTTTAGGGTTTAGGGTTTAGGGTTTAGGGTTCAGGGTTTAGGGTTTAGGGTTTAGGGTTTAGGGTTTAGGGTTTAGGGTTTAGGGTTTAGGGTTTAGGGTTAGGGTGGTTTAGGGTTTAGGGTTTACGGTCTCGAGTCTGGAGGTTTTGGGGGTTAAGGGTTTAAGAATTCAGGGTTTAGAAACCCTGAACAAGAGAAGGCCAAACCGAAAGTGTTCTGGCATTGGGGTGGTGCGCGTGCGGTGGCTTCGACCAAGGGAGTAGTAGCTCGTTGGGTGCTGCGAGAGTCGAGGCTGTTTAGGGCTCAGAGCTGGGTGGGGGGTCTAGGGTCTCAGGCTTAGGGTCTAGGGGTTTTGGTTTAGGGTTTTTGGTTTCGGGTTCAGGGTGTAGGGTTTAGGGTTTAGGGTTTAGGGTTTAGGCTTTAGGGTTTAGGCTTTAGGGCTCAGGGTCCATCAGCCTTAAGCTTCTATTAGTCGACCCTGAACTTGGGGGGCCGTGGAGGTCGAATGCCGCTGAGGGTGTTGGACAGAGATTCAGACCCCTAAACCCTAAACCCTAAACCCTAAACCCTAAACCCTAAACCCCAAGAATCTCTCCCGGGGAGGGCAGGGGGCGGGGGGGAGTCTAGCCCTAAACCCGAAACCCTCAACCCCAAAAATCGCTCCCTTTTTCGGGGAGGGGTCGGGGGAGTCTAGGGGTGTCGCTCTTTTTGCCCCTTCCTGCACAGCTCGCACTTGTTTTGTCCTCGCGAGACGAGGCATGGGAAGCCAAGACAGTGCGGCAGACCCTTTAGGGTTTAGGGTTTAGGGTTTAGGGTTTAGGGTTTAGGGTTTAGGGTTTAGGGTTTAGGGTTTAGGGTTCAGGGTTTAGGGTTTAGGGTTTAGGGTTTAGGGTTTAGGGTTTAGGGTTTAGGGTTTAGGGTTTAGGCTTTAGGGCTTAGGATTCAGAATTTAGGGTGTAGGCTTTTGCTGTGTTGGGTTTAGGGTTTGAAGGTCTAAGGTTTGGGGCTTCGGGTGTTTTGGGCTTTGGGGTTTCTCTAGGCCGAAAGATCCATCGGCTGAAAAAGAGACACCGCAAGCCCCAGAAGCCGAGATTAAACAAAAGCCCCTAAACACTGAACCCCTAAACCCTAAACCCTAAACCCTAAACCCTAAACCCTAAACCCTAAACCCTAAACCCTAAACCCTAAACCCTAAACCCTAAACCCTAACTAAACCCTAAACCCGAAGCCCTGCCGCTGCCAGGCTCCCCCAGCAGCTGGAGGATCTCCGCATGCCCATACTGGGATGCGAGATCCGCGGCAGTGGCCCCATCGCGCTGCACGGCGCCCGTGTCCTCGATGGAATCTTCAGTGCACGTTTTTCGGTTCCGGGCCTTTAGGGTTTAGGGTTTAGGGTTTAGGGTTGAGGGTTTAGGGTTTAGGGTTTAGGGTTTAGGGTTTTGGGTTTAGGGTTTAGGGTTTAGGGTTTAGGGTTCAGGGTTCAGGGTTTAGGGTTTAGGGTTTAGGGTTTAGGGTTTAGGGTTTAGGATTTAGGGTTAAGGGTTTAGGGTTAGGCTTTAGGGTTTAAGGTTCAGAAAGGCACGCTGTGGGGGCCCTGTTTTCGGGACATACTAGGTTTCGAGGGTTTTGCTAGGTTGTTTGTTCGGGTATACCTACTTCAAATCATGGCATGAGGCACTTGTATGTAGAATACTTGTTTGTAGAATACTGAGATCCTTGTCTTACAAGATCCTCGGTAGTAATAGATGAAGCTTTCTAGAGACAGCCCCTAAAAAATGACGAAAGGCTTTCCATAACAGGGCAAGATAGTGATTCTTGTCTTTGACTTCTTGAAAATTCTTAAGCAAGTTGTATTGGGTTTTGGGTTTGGGGCTTCGGGCTTTTTCATTTTGGGGTTTAGAAGGTGTGTGTGTGTGTGTGTGTGTGTGCATTTTGCTGCTGCAGCCACTGAAGCCATGTGAAGATCAACGACCCTGGTGCCCTGAAATCTGAAGATATCATACGCCCCCACCCAGCAACAGCATCTACACCCTACACCCTGAAACCTGGATCTTACCCAGTTCACGAACCTGGCCCAGCAACCCCAAAACCTAAACCCTAAGCCCTGAACCCTGGCCCCCAAACCCCTAAACCATCAAACCCCAAACCCTAAATCCTCACCCTAAGCCCTAAACCCCAACCCCCTACACTCTAAACCCCCAATCCCTAAAGCATCGAACCCCTAAACCCTGAACCCCAAACTCCCTCCCCGTTCAAGCCCGGGGCTGCGCGCGCTTGCAGCAGCAAGCGTACCACCTTCTTGCCAGACAGGGTTGAGGGGTCAAGGTTTAGGGTTTAGGGTTTAGCGTTTAGGTTTTAGGGTTTAGGGTTTAGGGTTTAGGGTTTAGGGTTTAGGGTCTAGGGTTTAGGGTTTACGGTTTAGGAATCAAGGTTTAGGGGCTAGCATTTTAGGGTTTTCAGGGTCGAGTGTTTGGGCTTTAGGGTTTAAGGTTTTGGCTTTAGGGTATTGCGGATTTAGGGGTTCAGGGTTTGGGGCGTTTGGGAGTGTGTAGCCTTTGAGCTCTTTAGAGCTCCAGGATAGTTTGCGTGCTGAAAGGGTGGTAGGAATTGGGGTTTCGGATCTGCGTACGAAGCACAAGGCCCCGCAAACCCAAAACATTAGTCCGTAAAACCCTGCAACCCGTAAACCCTAAGACCCCTAAGCCTTAGACCCAAACCCGAAACCCTTCGACCCTGAACCCTAAACTGTTAGACCTAAAGCCGGCAACCCTTAGACGCCTGAACCCTACACCCCGAAACCCGAGACCCTGAACCCTAACTACACCCTTTTCCCTTAGACCCCTAAATCCGAAACCCTTAGACCCCTAAACCCTCAGACCCCTCAACTCTACAACGTTAAACGCCTACAACCCTACACCCTACACCCTAAACCCTCAACCCCAAAAACTAAACCCTAAACCCTAAACCCTAAGACCTAAACCCTAAACCCTGGCCCTAAACCCTAAACCCTAAACCCTAGACCCCTAAATCTAAACCCGAAACCCTAAACCCTACAAGCCTCGAAGTGGCCAACTTGGCAGGCCAGGGCAAGCGCTGTGGCCCCGCTCTCCACGCACGCCGCATTCGGGTCCTCACGACAAAACTCCGGTTTAGGTTCGAGGGTTTAGGTAGGATTTAGGGTTTAGGGTTTAGGGTTCAGGGTTTAGGGTTTAGGGTTTAGGGTTTAGGGTTTAGGGGTTAGGGGTTAGGGGTTAGGGGTTAGGGTTTAGGGTTTAATTAGGGTTCTGGGTCAACTTATTGGTGCTTCAGTCACAAAGCCTCGCCTGTTGCATGCTAGAGTTTAGGGTTAAGGGTTAAGGGTTTAGGGCTTAGGGTTTAGGGTTTCTCCCATCGTCTCAACTCAACTCCCCTAGATTAAGGACCTTGCAATCGGTACACTGATACTGGGCCGAGCGATTCCTTTGGGTGGGTTCTAAGATCCGGGTGATTCAAAGTTGTGTTCCAACCTAAAGCCCTACACCCTAAACCAGAAACCCTATACCGTAAACGTTAAACCCTATATCGTAAGACCCTAGGACCCGAAACCCTAAACCCCAAACCTAAAACCCTAAACCCTACACCTTAAACCTAAGACCCTAAGGCCCTAAGACCCGAAGACCCTAAGACCCTATGACCCTAAGACCCTAAGACCCGAAGACCCTAAGACCCTAAGGCCCTCAGACCCTGAGACCCGAAGACCAGAAGACCCGAAGACCCGAAGACCCGAAGACCCGAAGACCCCAAACCCCAAGACCCCAAGACCCCAAGACCCCAAGACCCTAAACCCTAAACCCTGAACCCTGAACCCTAAACCCAAAACCCAAAACCCTAAACCCTGAACCCTAAACCCAAACCCTAAACCCTAAACCCTAAACCCTAAACCCTAAACCCTAAACCCTAAACCCTAAACCCTAAACCCTAAACCCTAAACCCTAAACCCTAACCTGCTTGGGTTCGGAAACTTGTGACTGGGGGGGCGCGAGGTCCGCGGCGTGCTCAAGCAACGCCGAGACTGCCTTGGCGGCGGGAGCAGGAGACTCGAGGATGGCCCCTTAAAAACCCTCCTAAAAAAGAATCCTAAGGTTTAGGGTTTAGGGTTTAGGGTTTGGGGTTTGGGGTTTGGGGTTTGGGGTTAGGGTTTAGGGCATAATCCTCTTAAACCCTATAGGGGAGAATACGAAAAAACAACAACAACAAGGGCCCACCTGGGATTTGAGCAGAGGGCTTCGGGCTTCGGATTTCGGGTTCAGGGCCGCAGGTTCCCGGAAGATTTTGAAGAATGCGGGTCTGGGCCCGAGACCCTTGAATCCTAACCCTAAACCCTAAACCCTAAACCCTAAACCCTAAACCCTAAACCCTAAACTCTAAACCCTAAACCCTAAACCCTAAACCCTAACCTAAACCCTAAAACCTAAAACCTAAACCTTAAACCCTAAACCCTGAACCCTGAACCCTGAACCCTTGACCCAAAACCCCAAACCCTAAACCCTAAATCCCAAGCCCAGCCACACCCTCGTGCCCAAACTGGGCCGCCGCATGGATGGCGCGCGCTCCCGTGTCCACTCGGGCCTCATCCCTGCTTGCCCCAGCCTTTGGGTTGAGGGTTTAGGGTTTAGGGTTTAGGGTTTAGGGTTTAGGGTTTAGGGTTTAGGGTTTAGGGTTTAGGGTTTAGGGTTTAGGGTTTAGGGCTTAGGGCTTAGGGCTTAGGGCTTAGGGTTGACAAGTTGAGGTACCCTCTATCCCCCTATAGATGCCTTTAAGGGATTATCTAGGAGACCTCATTCCCTCATTCCCGACTACCCAACAGTAAGCAGCCTCCAGCAGTAGGCGCACCACAGCCTCGTGGCCATTCCTTCCCAGGCTTGGTTGAATGGGGTTTAGGGTTTAGGGTTTAGGGTTTGGGGTTTAGGGTTTGGGGTTTAGGGTTTGGGGTTTAGGGTTTGGGGTTTAGGGTTTAGGGTTTAGGGTTTGGGGTTTAGGGTTTAGGGTTTAGGGTTTGGGGTTTAGGGTTTAGGGCTTAGGGTTTAGGGTTTAGGGCTTGGGCTTCCCCAGAAAAAAGGGCTCATGAAGATTGGCCCAAGGGGTCTGCGCTGCCACGTACAGGGGCGTGGCGCCGTGATCGCTTGCGGCGGCGTCTTTGTTGGCGCCAGCTTCCACCAGGGATCTCACCACCGCCAGATGCCCTTTCCTGGGCTTTTGGGATTATCAAGTAGTCTGTTGAGGGACTTCCTTCACGAAACTCAGAGGGAAGCCTAGAAACCCTAAACCCTAATTACACCACAACCCCTAACCCCTAAATGCTAAGTCCTAAACCCTACACCCTACACCCTAATTACACCCTATACCCTATATACACCCTAAACCCTAAACCCTAAACCCTAAACCCTAAACCCTAAACCCAGCGTCTGCGCCGCAATGTACAGCGGCGTGGCCCCGGTGTCACTCCGGCGCCTTTCTTTGTCGGCGCCTCAGGCAGCCCAGGGTTTAGGGTTTAGGGTTTAGGGTTTAGGGTTTAGGGTTTAGGGTTTAGGGTTTAGGGTTTAGGGTTTAGGGTTTAGGGTTTAGGGTTTAGGGTTTAGGGTTTAGGGTTTAGGGTTTAGGGTTTAGGGTTTAGGGTAGCATTTCAAGTCCAAGCATTCACTAGCCAAGAAATTTCTCCAGAAAAATACCCGCCCAAAGAATCCCACAACATTAAGAAAATGTTTCACTTATGGAACGACCTTGCCCAGTAAAAACGACCTTGCCCAGTAAAACAAAATGGCCTTGCCCAGTAAACAAATGACCTTGCCCGGAAAAAAATCACCTTGCCCAAAAAATGCCTTTGCCCAGTAAAAAATGACCTTGCCGAGTAAAAGAATTACTGGGCAAGGTCATTTTTTACTGGGCAGGTCGTTTTTTGGACCGAACGACCTTGCCCAGTAAAAAATGACCTTGCCCAGTACAAAAGGACCTTGCCCCGTAAAAACAAATCACCTTGCCCAGTAAACAAATAACCTTGCCCAGTACACAAATGACCTTGCCCAGTAAAACAATCACCTTGCCCAGTAAAAAAAAACAACTTTGCCCTGTAACAGAAGTGACCTTGCCCAGTAAAAGAGTTACTGGGCAAGGTCATTTTTTACTGGGCAAGGTCATTTGTTTTAACTGGGCAAGGTGATTGTTTACTGGGCAAGGTCGTTTTTTGGACCGCACGGCCTTGCCCAGCAAAAAATGACCTTGCCCAGTAAAAGAAATGACCTTGCCCAGTAACTCCATTAACATTTAACTTATATATGAAAGAGAGGTTTAGGGTTTAAGGTTTAGGGTTTAAGGCTTAGGGTTTAGTGTTTAGGGTTTAGTGTTTAGGGTTTAGCAAGTTTAGGGTTTAGGGTTACTGTTCCCCCCCCCCACCCACCGGCTCTGAAGGATATAACACACCCCTGGAGGGGCTCTAAAGGATATAGGAATTGGGTTTTAGGGTTTTAGGGTTTTCGGGTTTTAGGGTTTTAGGGTTTTAGGGTTTTAGGGTTTTAGGGTTTAGGGTTTTAGGGTTTTAGGGTTTTAGGGTTTTAGGGTTTTAGGGTTTTAGGGTTTAGGGCTTAGGGCTTAGGGTCTAGGAATTTAGGGCTTCAGCGGGCGTTTAAGGTTGTGGGGCTTCGGGCCTCGTGTTCTTCCCTACTCCTGAACCCTGAAACCCTAAAAGCCCAGAAAACCCTAAAGCCCTACAGCCCAGAAGCCCTAAATCTCCCCCAAGCCTAAACACCCAAAAGCCCGAACACCTCAAAAATCCCAGCGCCCTAAAGCCCGAAACCCTAAACTTGTTTAGGGTGGAGGGGTTTTGGGCCGGGCCTTGAAACCCTAAGAACCCTAAGAACCCTAAGAACCCTAAGAACCCTAAGAACCCTAAGAGCCCTAAGAACTCCAAGAACCCCAAGAACCCTAAGAACCCTAAGAACCCTAAACTTCTTTAAGCGTCCCTAAACCCTAAACCCTAAACCCTAAACCCCAAACCCTAAAATTTGGGCCCAGATCCGAACCTGAGCCCAGGAAGAAGTGCACCAGCTCCGTGCGGCCGTGCAGGGCAGCCAGGAAGAGCGGAGTGGCCCCGTCGGCATCTCGGGCCTTTCCAGGGCGTTTAGGGGGCTTAGGGTTTAGGGTTTAGGGTTTAGGATTTGGGGCTTAGGGTTTAGGTTTAGGGTTTTTGGGAGCTTAGTGCTTTAGGGAGTTTAGGGCTTTAGGGCTTCTGAGGGCTTTAGCGTTTTAGGGTTTTAGGGCTTCAGGGAGTTAGGGTGTTAGGGCTGAAGTTCAGGGGTTAGGGTTTAGGGTTTAGAGTTTCGGGTCTAGGGTTTGGGGTTCAGGGCTTAGGGTTCAGGGCTCAGGGTTTAGGGTTAGGGTTTAGGGTTTAGGGTTTAGGGTTTAGGGTTTAGGGTTTAGGGGTGTTAGGGTCTCAGGCAGCCTCGTTCACCACAGCCCGGAAGTCCAACAGCGCCTCCGCGACACCAAGGTGGCCCCTCCGCGCGGCAGTTCAGGGTTTTGGGTTTAGGGTTTAGGGTTTAGGGTTTAGGGTTTAGGGTTTGGGGTTTAGGGTTTAGGGTCTAGGGTTTAGCGAATTTAGGGTTTAGGCCGTCTCGCCTCTGCGCGGCAGTCAGGAGGGGCGTCTCGCCCTTGAACGTCTTGACCTTGGGGTTCTCAAGGGAGTCATGCTCCCTGAATATGGTGTTTAAGGCTTAGTTTAGGGTTCAGGGTTTAGGGTTTAGGGCTTAGGGGAAGTTTAACGGGCCCTTAATATGGCCCCTAACCTCCTCTGATGTGTGGGCCCGTAATTTGCATAGGGCATACAAGGGGCATTTCCGGGGTGCCCCTCTAAGGGACCATACAAAGGGACCATGCAACTACCCTAAGAGACTCGGGACCCCCGGGGATGTGCCCCCTAAGAGGTTCCCTCAATGTACTCCGAATATGGGCCCCTAAACCCTAAACCCTAAACCCTAAACCCTAAACCCTAAACCCTAAACCCTAAGCCCTAACCCTAAACCCTAAACCTTTAAACAGGGTCCCACACCCAAGGGTGAGGTTTAGGGCTCAGGGTCCCGAAACCCTAAACCCTAACACCCCTAATTGGCCCCTAATCCCTACCATCCCTACACCCTAAACCCCAAAGCGCGTTGGGCTTGGGGAGTTTAGGTTCGCCCTCATAGCCTGTTTTGGGGAGAGTCGAGGAACCCCGCAACGGAATCGAAGGGAGAAGACCCTCAACCCGAATTAGACCCCGAAACTTCTATGCCAGCCCCGAGCCCATGACACTTCCATGGGCACCCGCAAGGGGCAGAAACCCCGGAACCCTAAACCACAAACCCTAAACCCCAAACCCTAAACCCTAAATTCTACATCCTGCCCTAAACCCCTAATCCTAACAACGCCAAGTCTTGCAGCTCATGTGGCCGAGGTGTCAGCGCCCGACTGCAGCAAGAGGCGTGCCACTGCCGCCTTTGGGAATACGAAGCCCTGAACCCGAAACCCTACACCCTAAACCCTAAACCCTAAACCCAAAACCCTGGGGTGATGGTTTAGGGCTTAGGGTTGACTAGGGTTGTAATTAAAGGAGTTGTCCATTTTGCGGTGAGCTCTGCAATAGAGGGGTCCCAAACACATGTATGGTGAACTCCCGAACCTCCAACCCCTAAACCCTCAACCCTCAAACCTAAACTCTCAACCCTAAACTCTGTTCAGGGTTTTGCGCTGTAGGGTTTTGGGTCTCGCAGGAATGGCAGATACTTATGGCTTAGGGCTTAGGGTTTATGGATTTGGGGTTAAGGGTTAAGGGTTTAGGCTTTAAGGTTACTGAGGGCTTAGGGCCTAGGGTTTACGGATTTGGGGTTAAGGGTTTAGGGTTTAGGGTTTCGGGTTTAGAGGTTCGGGGTTTAGGGTTCCAGGGTCTTTTCCTCACAGGGATGTCAGAATGCCTGGCCATGCTGTGCCGCGAGGAAGAGCGGGGTGGGCACGTCCGCGTGCCCCTCCTGAGGTGTGGGGGAGGGGGCCCGGGGGTTAAGGGCGTCGGGTTTAGGGTTTAGGGTTTAGGGTTTAGGGTTTAGGGTTTAGGGTTTAGGGTTTTGGGTTTCGGGAGGGGGGGAGGGGGGGAGGGGGGGAACTTTGAGAAACTTTGGAGGCTTCACGGTCCATGAAGCTCCTGAAGAAGCCCTAATATAGGGGCTTAGGGTTTAGGGCTTAGGGTCTAGGGTTCGGGTTTAGGGTTTCGGGTTTAGGCTTTAGGGCTTAGGGCTTAGGGCTTAGGGCTACTAGATAGGGGCCTGAATGATTGGATTAGGGTTTTGGGGAGTATTGTATAGATAAAAAAGGACCATAAGGGAATACCTCAATCCCCCACGTGTCGACAGTAACAGGGGTTAGGTTGACTTTGACTAACACCCTGAACCCTAAACACCCTGAGCCCTAAACCCTAAACCCTGAACCCTAAACACCCTAAGCCTGAACCACAAACACCCTAAACCCTAAGCACCCTAAACCCTAAACACCCTTAACCCTAAAACCCTGTGTTGTTCGGGGTTGGGGTTCAGGGCAGTTGGGTGTCGCAGTTTCCAGAGTGCTACTACGAAGCGCAGGAACCAGATGACGTCTGACCCTGAACCCTCAACCGATGAGGTTCGGGGTTTAGGGTTTAGAGTTTGGGAAAGAGTTTACGGTTTGGGGTCTAGGTTTTTTTTTAACCCGAAACCCCCCAACCCCTAAACCCAAAACCCTTTCTCTGGGTTTTCCATCGCTTGACCGCAACCCAGTTCCACAGCAAACGCGGATGGTTGGCATTGGGTCTTTAGGCGTAGGGCATGGGATTACCCAATCCCTACACCCGAAACCCTCAGCACCTAAACCCTATGAGGGGTTAGCGCGGTTTCAAGTTGCATCTAGACCTAAACCCATCACCCTCAACCCTAAACCCTAAACCCTGTGCCCTTCTTAAGGTCCAGTGTGCCTAAAGGGATGGTTGAAGCTACTGGGTGTAGGGTTTGCTTGGATGCGAGAAGAACACGGTTCGGGTTCAGGGTCTAGGGGTCAGGGTCTAGGACTTAGGGGGGCAGGTAGACCCTAAACCCTAAACCCTAAACCCTAAACCCTAAACCCTAAACCCTAAACCCTAACCCTAAACCCTAAACCCTAAACAAAAGCTACGGGTGTGCCGAACCCCTTGAGGCTTGTAGGCTTCGGGTTGTTTTGGGGGCCGAACCTGAAAGTCCCCCAGAAACAACAACATCAACGACCGGAAGACGTAGACCCTGAACGCTAAACCCTAAACCCTAAACCCTAAACCCTAAACCCTAAACCCTAAACCCTAAACCCTAAACCCTAAACCCTAAACCCTGCACCCGGCTCTTTTTGTTCGCGCGTTCCGGGCCGCGCCAACGCCTTCCTCTCTCTCCCATTCGGGTGAAGGATTGGGGCGGAGGGTTTAGGGTTTCGGGTTTGGGGTTGCGGGTTTGAGGTTTAGGGTTTAGGGTTTGGGGTCTGGGGGTTTTGGGCTTGGGGCTTGGGCTTGTAAGCCCTGACCAATCGAGAAGAAAGCTGACAGCTCAACGAATAGGCAACCCCTAAACCCTAAACCCTAAATCCTAAACCCTAAACCCTAAACCCTAAACCCTAAACTCTGGATGTTCAGTGTCAGGCGAGGCGGTCGTCAGGCCTGCACATAGTAGCACTTGGTGTGCTCCTTTGCTGTTCTTCGAACTCTCAAGTTGGCCGCTTTTGCCGGATGCGGGATTTGCAGGGTTTAGGGTTTAGGGTTTAGGGTTTAGGGTTTAGGGTTCAGGGTTTAGGGCTTAGGGTTTAGGGTTTAGGGTTTGGGGTTGTTTGTTAGGGTTAGGGTTTAGGGTTTGGGGTTTAGGGTTTAGGAGTTGCCTTTCTCGTGTTGAGGATTCAGGCTTAAAGGTTTGGCGTGTTGCCCAAAACCCTAAACCCAGGCCCCAATACAAACCCGAAACCCTAAATCCAAGCCCTCAGCCCGAAGCCCTAAACCCTCCCGGCGGGTTCACTATCGGCGATGGCTTCGTATCGTTTTTTCGAGGTTTTGGGTTTTTTATGTCGAGGGTAGAACAAGGTTTCGGGAAGGACATTCGAAGTACTTTGTGTTTGCGAGAGTCCCACGGTAAGCATTAGCCTTTCTGTACATGTTCCCAGGCTTAACATGCAGAATTCTATTCCGATAGTATCCCCTCATGAGGCCACAGTAGTACACGGGAGGCTACATCCTGAAACCCGGCCTAGTAGGAGCAGGAGTAGGGCCTTTATTCCCTTATTTTACGGTTTGGTTCCCTTACAAGCCCCTTTAAGGCAAAGACGGTACCCTGCTTGTACCTAGGTTCCTCTTGGGGTTATAATGTAAGCCCTAGACCCTGGAGAGGAGGCTTCAGTTCGAAAGAAAATAGGTACGGAACTGAATGTGATCTGCACATGACAAAAACGCGCACGAGAAGGATGTAATTAAACCCGCCCCCCCCCCCCCCCCCCGCCCCCCCCACCAGAAAGAAAATAGGTAAGGAACGCAGTGACTGCGTTCCGTCGTTTGGGCCATGTTTAACAACAAGCAAAGAATGAAAGCGGACTCGTAGCGACCAATGCGAAATCTTGGGAAAATCATGCGCAGGCCACGTATTCAGGCATTACCTGTGAAAGTGGAGCAGGGGGCGGGCGCATGCTGAAGCGTCAAAACCATGCAAACGCGTCCCCGATAGTGAACCCGCCTGCTAAACCCTAAACCCTAAACCCTAAACCCTAAACCCTAAACCCTAAACCCTAAACCCTAAACTGAAGATCTCCAAGAATCAGCGTGGGGGCTTCGTAGCGTCTTGTGCGTCCCGCGCCACTTGAAGCGGGTGCCCGCCGCTTCTCCCAGATTCTCGGTCTGGCCCTCTGGGCCTGGGTCTTTCTGTGGGGAGGTTTAGGGTTCAGGGTTTAGGGTTTAGGGTTTAGGGTTTAGGGTTTAGGGTTTAGGGTTTCGGGTTTAGGGTTTTGGGTTTAAGGTTTAGGGTTTAGGGTTTTGGGCTTTGGGGAATGCAGGGGGCTCCGGAGTTCAGGCTTGAATTTTGGGGTTTAGGGCCTTGGGACGGGGATTTCAGGGGTTCGCCGCAGTCCCAAAGCCACAATCCACAACCCCAAAAGCAAGGGTTCAGGTTTATCGAAATATTGTCTATACAATTAGAGTAGGGTTTTGGGGGTAATTGTAGTATGACTATAAAGGGGCCCTAAGGGAATATTTTTATTAATTAGTCCGAGCCCTATAGTAGACAGGGTTCAGGTCCGGGGTTTCGGGCGGGTTTTCAGCGGGCTTTGTGCAGGCTTTGGGGGCGGGTTTGGTCTTTTTTGCTTTGGAGATACTGTAGATGCAGTAGGGTCCGCGTCTCGGGGGGGGGGGGGGGGGGGGGGAGGGGCTTTCAGGCGGGGTGGTGGCCTTTTGGGGCCTTCCCTTCCTGTCTCGGCTTGTCAGCTGTTTAGACAAACAAACTTTGTTTCACAATGATGCCACATACAATGTCCATTTATCCTGGTCTTGAGGATTTAGGGTTCAGGGTTTAGGGTTCAACCCGAAACCCGCAAACCCCCACCAAAACCCCCCAAACCACCAAAGACCCCCCCAAAAAAAACCCAAAACCCCTATATAAGCCCTGCGGCCCCAAAAGGCCTAATTGGGACCTCAAACCCAACACCCTAAACCCCCAAAGCCCCAAAAGCTCAAACACAAAAACAACTAAACCCTAAAAACCTTAAACCCTGAAACCCTAAAACCACCCTCCTCAACCCTAAACCTTAATCCCCCCCTCACCCCCCCTGCCCCCCCCCCCCCCCCAAAAAAAAAAAAAAGCATGAAAGCGGCCTGGCAAGGCCGCGATCCGAGAGAGAACCTCCTGATAGCTGGGATGATCCCGGGCGCCAGCGCGCTCGAACCTTGGGTTGCAAAAAAAGGGTCTTGGGGCTTCGGGGCTTAGGGGTTCAGGGTTTGGGGTTTGGGGTTTGGGGTTTGGGGTTTAGGGTTTAGGGTTTAGGGTTTGGGGTTTAGGGTTTCGGGTTTCGGGTTTCGGGTTTGGGGTCTTGAAAGTTTGGGGGGCTCAGGGACTTAGGGGCTTCTGGGTTTAGGGTTTAGGGGTTAGGGTTTAGGGGTTTAGGGGTTTAGGGTTTAGGGGTTTAGGGGTTTAGGGGTTTAGGGTTTAGGGTTTAGGGTTTATGGTTTAGGGTTTAGGGTTTAGGGTTTAGGGTTTAGGGGTTTAGGGGCTCAGGGGCTTAGGGGCTTAGGGGTTTAGGGGAGGTTGAGGGCTGGAGAGTTTAGGGGGTTTTAGGGGGGTTTTAGGGTCTAGAAATGTCAGGGGTTTCTAGGGGTTTAGGGTTTAGGATTTAGAGATTTGGGGGGTTTCGGGTTTGGGGGTTCAGGGGGTTCAGGGTTGAGCCCTTTAGGCGGGCTTCGGCGGGGCCGTTTAGGGTGTGGGTTTCCGGCCGAAAACCCCAAACCCCAAACCCCAAACCCTAAACCCTAAACCCTAAACCCCAAATCATGCAGCAGTGCTCTTGAAGTACTGTTCGAGTTGACTTGGAGAGCTTTTGGGGAGTTCATCTTTGGGTTCGTTGGGTTCAGGGTCTAGGGTCTAGGGTCTAAGCTTTAGGGTTTAGGGTTTAAGGTTTAGGGTTTTGGGGTTTAGGGTTTAGGGTCGCTGGTTGAAGCTTGGATGTTTGAGATATGGCTCGAATCTCCATCCTTTGAGGTGGTCGTTTTCATCTTCCGGGGAGTAACCCTAAACCCTAAACCCTAAACCCTAAGCGCTTAATCCTTCACAACCCTGATTCTGCCCCTTCCGGTTCCTTGCCTGAACCCTTCTAACGCCTTCCTTCTCACGTGAAGCCCTGTCTTACGGTTTAGGGTTTAGGGTTTAGGCTAGTTTAGGGTGTAGGGTTTAGGGTTGAGGGTTTAGGGTTGAGGGTTGAGGGTTGAGGGTTTAGGGTTTAGGGTTTAGGGTTTAGG